CAGAATACCCCTGTGTGACAAGACAGGCTGGACACTAACCAGATAAAAAGTGACCTTTGCAGAAAAGTACCTGGAGATCCCAGCAGGTAAAAGGCTGAAAATGAGATGGCAGTGTACCCTCACAGCAAAGGAGGCCAAGTACACCCTGGGCTATTTATCAGGAGTCTAGCCAGCTGGCCCAGGGAAGTAATCCATCCCCTCTATTCAGCACCTGTGAGACCACTTGGAGCACTGCGTCCAGTTTTGGGCTTCCTGGTACACAACAGACACTGACACACTGGAACAAGTCCAGAGGAGACCACTGAGCTGGCCAGGTGGCAGGAGCACATGATGTACAATGAGAGGGTGACAGAACTGAGTTTGCACAGCCTGGGGAAAAAAAAAAAAGAAAAAAAAAAAGAAAAAAGCTCAGAGGAATCCATATTGCTGTCTACAATTATCTAATTGGAAGGGTGCAGAAAAGACAGAACTGGACTCTTCCGGATGTGACAGGACAAGAAGCAACAGACAAGTTGGAAAGCCAAGTTCACTTTGCTTAAGGAGATTGGGTGGGGTTTTTATTGGGGGGTATCATTATGAGAGTAATCAAACAAAGAAACAGGTTACCCAGAAAGTTTTTAAGGGCCGGAACAACCTTTAAGAAATTGCTCTTACTTTAATTTAAGCAGGGAGATGGACTAGATGACCTCCAGAAGTCTCTTCCAACCTAAATGATGCTATTTCACTAATGTATTACTTCAACTGCCTAGGATTCTATTTCATAAACTTTCATTCAGCAATTTTTGCATCAAGTTTATTACTTCTAATTATGTATTTAAAAATATCAGTTGTCCTGTACATACAGGAAGCATGAATCCAATGTGGTATACAAAAATGTTAACATCTCTTATCTACCTGCCCTTAGAACAACTTCCTTTCATACCACTATGCTTCCCCTACAACCAGGAAACATAGGTTTTCAGCATCAAAATGACTTTGCACTTTTAAGCTTACCTGACAAACAAAAAAAAAAAAAAAACAAAAAAAAAAAACAAAAACAAAAACATGCCTTCTTTGATATCCTGATTCATGTTTCAGGGATGATGACAGTAGGAACATATAGCACTTTAATGCACCTTGCTTTGTGGCAAAACCTATTTTTTCCTCTGTCCACTTAAAATCAGTAGAATCATCTTTGTCCATGCTATTCTTTCCAAAGAGAAGAAACATTCCACCAAGGAAACAATACGGCAGAGGTTTTTCACAAGGACCTTACTCATCTTTCAGAGTAATCTATTTAACTAAGCAGGTTTTGGAAACCTTTTTTTAAATTATTTATCTATGTACTGTTTATAAACAGTCACACCCAACAAACTATTTTTTCTCTTTCAGCTTCACAAAGTCCACTCTTGGAACACTTCTGGTATCAAAATCAAGATACACCTTAGAAGACACCAAGGTATTTTCTAATAATTTACACATTGGGTTTGTGTGATTTTGAATTTAAGAATACAGAAAAAGGTGAAATAAAGCAATCTTCTCAAGTATGTCAGCTTTGCTTGTGAACCAAGACTCTGTCAAAGACAAAAAGATTCCCTTCAGCAATCTGGCATACAATAACAGCTCCTTTAATAGCTGTACCAGTATAACAGAGTAAGATCAAACCCAGAACAAACTGTCAAAGGTATGAATTTCAGAAAGCATCTCATGAAAGTATACCGGAAAACATCTTCATCTCCATTAAATGGACACTTCTATGAAGTTCAGTGTTAATACTCAAAATGTGCACTTTAATTTTCAGTTAGGAAAGTCAAGATTAAACTTCATGGGAAGAAACCAAGAGCCATTACAGGAAAGATTAGTATAGGTAGTGGTCAAAACAGGAAACAAACATTCAGTATTGCACTTTGACACTTTTCTGCACCCATTTGTTTTAGAGTGCTGCTATGCTTGATACCAAGATCAAAAGTGCTCACGCATCAGTCCACTGGGTACATAAAATGGGTATAATCCAATGACAAATTAATCTAGACTGTAAATCAGAAGGTATGTAATTACTAAGGTCAGTCAAGTTTGAAATAACCTTTCAATTACAGCAAAGGTGATAACAATATACAGCTGATTATTTTAAAATTAAAGCTGATTAAATTTACAAAAGTCCCTACCTAACAAAGCCCAGCCCACTCCTTGAAATTAATGGATCAACAAAAAGTTTACAAAGAAAGGATATGCAGAAGAAAACCACAGCTGCTTCTATGGACACACAGAATTAAAAGAGAGAGAGAGAGGAAGCTCTTACAAGGCAGCAGTAAATTTAACGTTGCTGAAAGTAAAATGAATCATAAAATAGTTTGGGTTTGGAGAGGCCTTAAAGGTCATAGAGCCACTAGATCAGGTTGCTCCAAGCCCCATCTAACCTGGCCCTAAACACTTCCAGGGATGGACCATCCACAACTTTTCTGGGCAACCTGTTCAGTGCCTCACCACTCTCATAGTTTCTTCCTTATATCTAATACAAATCTCTTTCAGTTTAAAGCCATTACAAATGATACGATGGCTTCATAATCATTGTAAGCCAGTAGTGAGCAGAAAAAAGAAGAGTTCCTGCTATCATTACTATGATTTGCTACCTTCACAAGTGGCATAAGCCAATCAAGACCACAGGGTAGCCTCTTTTAGCAGTAGTGCCTTCTTATGCTAACTTACTATAAAAACCATGACCCCCAATAAATGCATCACCCACCACAACATATGTGATTGTACCAGAACTGCTGTTAGCCTTCCTCCCTACCAGCATGCTTCTTCCTCCTCTGGATTAAGACAATATCCATATGGCCAGGCAAGTGAGCTGGTTCAGGAAGCTGTTCTAAAAGTAATTGGGGGAAGGGGGGGGGGGGGGATGGAAGGGAGATGGAAAGAGGGGGAAGCAAAAGAAAAGAAAAAAAAAAAGAAAAAGAAACAACAGGAAAAAAAAAGTACTACATTTTGACCAGATAAGTTCTTTACTTACTTTTTGGCTGTGGAAGTCCCATTGACAACACAAGGGAAGGAGCAGCCACAACTCAGATTGTCTTGGGAGTATGCATCAAGAACCTGGCTTCCACAGAAAACCACATTATGCCCTCAATCATTTTGCAACCCCCTTACTAACATTACCAAATTTTAATCTGCTAATCAAATCTTAAAGGCCTGAATGCTATTTTTAACCAAGCAATACATTTCATTGTAACCATCTTAAAGAAAACATTGCGGAGTACTTTCAATAATGCTCCAATTCAGCTTCCACTCTTCCAACTCTGGAGTCAATTTGTGCTTACCATATGTAACTATATTTGGAGTCTCTTCAAGTTTAAACTGCAAACTAACCCCTTAATTGGTGCCATTAATACCATCTAACCCACACAAATGCTACTAGTTACTATCCTACCTAAAACCTAGACACAAGCATAACTTGCAGGCCTAATCTTATGCCCCCAGTAAACCTTCATAAGATCTGGAGCTTGAGTGACAGGCTTGAGTTTGATGGGCACTCAGGATTTTGGCCTGTATCACAGAGATTTGACCAAATAAAATCACAGTACCTTTCTTGAATTTAAAGGGATAAGAAGCTGTTGCATGTATTATCACCAAAATTTCTCTGGAAACAGAAAGGACAGTTCCTCTTCTGCAAGGTTGTAAAAGTCACCAACATGGTTGTGAGGCTACAGCTTAACAATAAAAGGGAAAAGCAACACTTTTTTAAGCCAGCTACTTCTTACTTGTTGCTAGATTTGTTTCCATTTTGAAGAAAAACTGACATTTTCAATCTTTTTTCTTTCACAAAAGAATGGATGCATACAGCTACGAAATGTGCTAAACTGATTTACAATACTATGAAAAACTATTTTAATAACACAGTTTTAAAAGAGTGACAGCAAGAACAAAGTACATGCCACACTTCAGAAACTTAAAATGAGCAGAGCTGCCAAGTCCATTTTACTCAGAGCGCCATACCTACTTCAGACACTTTCAGCAGGTTTTGAAGTACTCTAAAGACAAGGATTTTTACACCAGGTCAAGGTTGGGAAGGGCCTAACTGTTAAAGAGGGTTAAGGAAAAAGAAGAAATGACACAACAAGAAGACGCAGATGCATTTGAGCCATGCAGACACGGACTAGGACAGTAGTTTGCTAGTTTTGGCTCTTGGGAAGTGACTTCACTTTTCCCAAGGAGGAGGAAGGAAGGTAGACACTTCCACCACGTTCTCCCTTCCCTCACCACGAAAACAATTTGATTTTTTAAATCCTCCACTTTGCTCCAGCTTCATTCCTCCCGAAGCAGCATTACCCCAGCGCCCAGCCACGCACAGGTAACATCAGCCCCCCAACACAAACCCAAGAAAACACGACGAAGCAGCACCACCCCCCAAACAGCCACGCACCTCGTGCCCCCTCCTTCCTCCGCCGCCTTAACGGGGGCCGGAGTCAGCAGCCGACGGCTCCCGGGGCCGCACAGCCTGCCCGGAGGCGGCGGCCGTGCCGGCAGGGCCCGCCGGAGGAGGAAGCCACCTCAGGTCACTGGGCACTGTCACCCTGTGACGCGGGGCGGGCAGGCACCCTTCTTCCCCCGCCTGTTCTCCTGAGGGAGCGACGACGTTTCCCGCTTCCACCCTCACGAGACCCCCACCCCCTCGCCTCGCCCTAGCGAGGGAGGCCCGCGGCAACATCCTCCCCTCTCACCGATGGCAGCCGAGCCTTTCTCCCCGCTCTGCCTCCGGTCCGGCCGCTGCCTGGCTCAACCACCAGCTCTCTGCGCAGCAAAGGGGCAAGCCAGGCGAGAACGTCTCGGCGGGCCGCGCAGCCGCCTCAGGGCTGGGCCAGCGCCGTCCACATTCCGGCGGCGGGTGGATGGCGGAGCGGGCGGGGGCGCCTGCGCGCACCTCTCCCCTCCCACCACTGACACGGCGCTAGCGCCGGCACCGGGGGCGGCCGGGTGGAGCGCGGGGAGCGATCGGCCGTTAGCTGCTCCCGCCACCCGTTTCGGATCTGCTGTTCCTCATGGCGGGTTCTGGTGGCCGAGAGGAACGCGGTGTGCGAGCTGCCCCGCCTTGGGCGGCCTCGGGGACCGACCTGCGCCGGGACTGCGGCTGTGCTGAGGGTGCTCGGTTTGGCCGCCGAGGGTCCAAGTCGGTCTTAAGTTCAGCGTGGCTCCGTGCGAGTGCCGCCTTCAGGAGATTCTGCCCTTTACAGGCGATCGGTTTCGCAGAAAGGCTGGCGCCGAAACGTGTCAAACTTCTTGACCACACTGAAGAACAATGGAAGTGACCGACAAATCATGGCACTCTTAAAAAACGTTTTGCCTTTTCTTCTCATAACCCAGCCTCACTAAGCAGTCGGTTGTGTTGGCTTATCAACAGTGTTTTGGTATGGTTAAACAAATGTTTAATATTTAAATAGTAAATATAAGTGTATGTTGAAACGCTTAAACATAAACAACGTTGATAAGTACATTTAAATAATGAAAGGTTGTCCTGTTGGTTTTTCTTTTTTTTTGTCTTGTGTGTGAAACAAATTACACTTAACCACAAAATTTATACAGCTTGTCTCTGTTCTTTCCATTTCAGATGTGGATTAGCAAAACCTTAAGGAATGTCAGACCACAGCCTTAACATAACTTTGTTGTGTGAAAGGCTGTGTCCAGTTTCCCTGGGATTCCCCGTGTGGGCGCTGTTTGTACGTTCTTGTTCTGTCAGTGGCGTCGAGAGCTGGGAATGCCGTGCTCCTCACGGCAACAGCAGGATAGTGGGTCTGCTCCCACAGCTCATGTCTGAATGACACAGGTGTGGAAAGGAAAGGCGCTAGCCGCAGTGCTTTTAGCCTCCCTCTCCCGTCACCGCTGCCTGCTGCAGAGCTACGCTGCTGGGAAACCTCGGGGTAAGGTTGAAACACAGTTACTTGTAGCAGCAATAACACTGAAGTCTGATTTTGGAGATCTTTATGATGCACTGCAAGAGCACAGCTACTGAAGGTTTATGAGTCCAATTCTTTCTTTCTCCTTAATGTTTGTTTGTATGCTGTGAAGAAAAACAAATCCTTAATATGCAGACAGGCAGAGAGGTGGTTTATTTCTTACGTGGTCTTTTTGCATGTAATGCTGTAACAAACCAGCCTCAAGGCTGGCAACGCAAGCAGACAAAGGAGAGCATTTCCCAGAGAAAAGAAAAGCAGGATTGTTTGCCCAGTTGTATGTTACACCAGCCCTCCCTCTTGCTTTCCTGCTGTTACTTTTACATATCTTCCCTAGTTGTCTGCGGCTAGTGTAAAACAAATTATCTTCAGATTATTCTTATCACACGACAGGGTTCACATAAACCACAAAAGCGTGGGGAAAGAAGAAAAATTCAAGGGGGGAGGAGAATGATTTTACTGAACATTACAATAGAGGAATAATAAGAAAAAAGTTCCCCTGGTATTGTACTCATATGCTGCAAGCTTATTTAATAATATGGGTAATAAACAGCAGGAACTAAAAGTCATTGTATTCATAACCAAAATTATGAATAAATTGTCATAACTGGTTATTGTTATGGAAATGTAGAATTTGTTCAGGAAGCCTCGGTACAGAGGTAGTGAAAATACTTGGATAATGGCAAATATTAAGAGCAAAGGCCCATTAACAACCCACAAATGAAAAAGATCAAGTGCATAGTGCTTTAGTTTGAATTAAATCATCCAAAGAACAGGAACTGGTAATAATGAGACTTCAAAGAGCAATAATTTTGCTCCAAAAGGAATTTGGGAGACAGTATGTGTGACAGTGGTTGTTAAGTTAACTTAATGACTCTTCAAATGGGAAGGAAGGAAAATCAACAGACTTGAAGAAAATAAGTTTCAGTAAACTCACTGTCGGAATGCCAAATCCCACTGTAGTAAATCCAAGGAAAAGTACACTCTGGAAAGCTTGCCATTTCCTGTAACATCAACATAAAGGCCTCAGAGAGGAGTCTGCTAAACCATTTCAATGGCTTGCACCTTTGGGAAAAAGCAGAATCTAGGTTAAATTACTAAAACCGACAACAAAGTGATTGTTGTAATATGTAGAAGAAAGCCAGAAAGGTTAATGTACAAAATGAGCTAAAACTATCAGAGTCATAGAATGTAACAACAAAAAGCTTATGTGAAAGATTACCAAGGAAGAACTGACTTGCTCTCAGGTGGGTGAGGGAACAAATCATGTAAGGAAGACCAAAACTGTTGGATGGTTTGTGATTATTTTTTTTCCCGTTGTTCTTCTCAAAAACGTCATCTGTAATCAGACAGCTTACATGGGTAACATTAGACACATAAAACACATGATTTAAGGAACTAATCTACTGAAGCATGATGCTTACAGAAGTCATGTGCCAGGTAAGTTTCAGCCAACATATTTAGTAAAATGGCTAAGCAATCTGAAAATTTTTCGGAATTGCCATCAAGAACTCAGAAAAGATAGCTGAGGTTTCATGGCACCAGGAAAGAGGAAATGGTGCCCACCCTGATGAAAGAAGGATGGTAATCAGAGGCCAGTCAGCTTTAGTTCATGTCAGGCAGAATACTGAACAAATTATTAAGCAAATTGAACCCTTGGATGATAAGATTAATAATAGCCAACCATAACATCTCAAAACCAAATAATTGAATCTTGACTTAGGCAAGGCTTCTGATGATGTCTCATCTAATACTCTCATAAGAAGGCTAGAAGACCACTGACTACATGAAGCTTACACAAAATGGTTAGGGAATGGCTCTCAGAAGCAGTGTCAAGTGATTCACAAAAGAAGTCTGTAGCAAGCAAGATTTCCAGATGCTTACACATTCCAAGTCCTGAATGGCTTCTGTGATGCAATAGGATAGAGAATATTCATATCATATTTGTGGAGGTTATCTTGTTCAGATTAGAGATGCAAGCATTTTGGAAGATGTAATTAGAACAGAACAAGTTGTGAGGAGCTGAAACAAAGATCTGAAGTAAATAGGATGTATTTCAACAAGAATATGTATGTATAGCTGGGAATAACAGCAAAAATGTAAACTGCAGACAAACTGGCAGTTACTTTACAGAAAGAAGCCTTGGTTCATAGCAATTCACAAATAGAAAATGAGTCAACAGTGATTTGGTGTTGCAAAAAAATGTGGCTGTTTCACTGAAGTGTGGAAGATGACTGTCAAACACAAAAGCAGCAAAATAATTCTTCTATTCCAGTAAGCTCAAAAAAGTTTTTGGTGAAGAAGAGCTCTCAGTTTTGGCCACCTCCTCTCAATTAGATCTCTGTGGAGAACATAAAGAACTACTGTAAGTCTGGACAATTTGGCCTGGAGTCGTACTCAGTGACCGAAGGAAGTTCAGTTGGACATCTCAAGAGTCAAAGACATGAATGTACAGCCTAAACAAAATATTCTGTTAAGAAAGCAGTCTATATGTGTACAAGAAAAGTGAATATACCTACCAGCCCATATGTTTGATTATGGAAATAAAAAGTTTTCGCCACTCAACTCTCAAGTTAAAACACTTAATGAGACTTTGGTTTTTTAGTATACTTAAATCCTCATATCCTTAATATCCTGAGGTGTAATAAAAATCCTGAAGATGTAGAACATCCATACACTGAGAAAAAAATAGTTCTTTTGCCGCAGAAAATACATGGACTCAGTCAGAGATCAATATGATCAGACAAAAGCCGTTTATTACAAAGCCTTAACCCCTTAAATACTATTTCTACTTGCACTTACAGTGATTTGGCATACTATGATTGGATACATGTCTTGAAGACCCTTTGCAACTAGCATATAATTGGTTAAGCAAAGGTGTGGGAACTTGACCTCAAAAGCTTGCCAACAGTGCACAGTTCTCATTACATCAGTGAATTCCAGCTTCTTCTTATCTTGCTTGCTTAAGCTTCCTTGGGCCTCTCACGGCCTTGCTGTATCTGTCAGGATTATTCAGAGTTTATGTACCAATTATCCATTCTCCCGTGAGAACACTGTCTCCACATTCTTTTAAAATCCACCAAGGAAAAAATAAATAAAAATCAATGTCAGGCCTCTTCTGCATTATCCACTACAGGAGCTGAAGCATAATATTGCTGGACAGATGGTGATAAAAGGAATCCACTTGCACACTTAATTGGAGCAATAAGTCCATGTGCATTAATTTCCACAACCTGACCTCTACAGAGCTCACACATAAATATTTGTCTTGACAGAGGGAATTTCATTTAACTTTCTCTGAAGGACAATAGAAAGCCAAGGTCATTCAGCCTGTGCTCTGAACCGGCATCTCCCACAACCCATCCTTCTGCCACTACCAGAGACTCATCTTTATCAGAAGTCAGGAAACTATCAAGTTTGTCTGGGGAGGCCTGAAAACAGGCTTGAAGTAGAATTCCTTTTTAGGAGGTAATTAAGCCTATCCCCATAAATAATAGGAAGAAAGTATAGCTTAGGCACTAATGCAGGGGGAGGACCTTGCCTCAGGTCTTTACAGTATGTTTGAGCACACTAACCTAATATATTGATCTTACTGCTGGAGTAAGCTTTAGAACTCAGAAAAGCAAGTGACTTTTTACAGCTTTAGAACAAAGAGCATTGGAAGGAAATACTTAGGAATCATGCACTGACTTTTCCCTAGGGAGGTTCGATACTCTTAAAATCATGGGGCTGGCGCCAAACATTGTATGCTAGAGGTAAAATGGAGTCAAATTCCCTTCAAACGGTAACTAATCAATACTTGAACTTTACAGGAAGCATTTCACTTTTTGAATACTTATTAAGACTTTCTAGATACAAACTGTGGAGAAGTTAAGTTCGATGTATTAAAGATGTTCAGCACATTTCAAATATTCTAATTAATGGTGACACAGCCTTAAATAAACATACTGTTCACAATCAAGATGAGAATATAGATAATCTATTTTATAATGTGGTTGTTAGTTTCCTGTATTTGGAGGGTCACAATGAGTTTGTAAGTCATTTCTGACAGAACAAATGGACAAAAATCTGATGATGGTTGCAACTAAAGCAGTAGCTTAGTGTCAGCAGTATGAAGTGGGACAAAACACAGAAAATGTTGTTTCTAGAGTTTTAATATGAAAATGTGGCCTTTGTGTGAAGTTACAGCTACAGACCGAATTTCCAAATTCTTTCACCTTTAGCTGCCTCAAAAAACAGTATTATTCTATTTCAGAGAGAATCAGTTGAGATCTACACTACCCATGGTCACTTGTATCTGAGACGGAATGGGATTTAGTCCTGGATTCCTATTGAACAGCTATAAAGTATTTTGACATTTTAATGAGATAGCGTATAACCATAAAAATAAATATTAATTAAAAGTGAGATTGTGTCTACTGAGATTTAAAAAACTACCAATATTCTTTTCATACAAATCAAACAGTTGTTGGTTACTCTTGCATATTAGTGCTATATTTTAATGAGAATTGGCATGATCTTTTTGTATATTGCAGATTTACAAATTTAGGGCTTAATTTCCTTGTTACTTTTGCATGATTCATTTTGCAATGCAGCTACTCCTTAGAACATTAATAACTCATAGACTTGAGATATCATAATAACAGAACTATAAATACCTATAAGGAATTACTAATAAAAGAGGATTTATGTAACTTTACTAAAATATTCATCTAGAGAAGCAATAGAAGGGAATGAGATAGCTTGAATAATAGAACATTATAACAATTTTGTGAATTAAGACACAATTCAGCAGTTGAGAACTATTTGGAAACTTCATCCAGGACTCATTTAAACGTGTAGCTCTATAATTTTTATGACAAATGCAAGATCCTTTCTGCTGAGATTGTAAATGTTAAAAACCAGCAGCAACCCTTCTGTAGCTACATGCGTTTCAGAGCTGTGATCTGTAGTTTGCAAGACACAGCTGTAGACATCTGCATAACACCATGAACACAGAAAATCCTTTGCTACCTGTCAACATGTCCTCTGCGTGTGATGAGAAACAATGTCCCTGTCGCTCACTAGGCTCAGCAGAAGACTTCTCTAATTGTTAGGTTCCTGATGGGAATAAGATTTCCTTTCACTTAAAAATTTCTCATAACAAGATATTTTTTTTACTTTCTTTCAGCTAATTATAACTACATTTGATTACATACAGGACTGCAAGCACACAAAGGCATTGTGCTCATCCTTTGTCTTGAAAAAGAGTGACTGAGCTGTTTGTGGCCTTCTTGGCCCTGCCCTGTAACATCTGAACAAAGTGCCAGGCTTCAAATGGCATAGCTAAACTGTGGAGCTCAGCTCAGTAGAGTCAGTAGAAAAGGAGCATCCCTTCTTCTTGCGAGTGAATAGGTACCAAGGAAGCAGCCTTCTTCTGAGAAACTTAGATCTGATCTAGGAACAGGCAGCATCACATGGCACGTCTGATTATTTGTCATGGTTTAAGCCCAGGCCGTAAATCAGAACAATGCAGTCTACTCCCTACCCCGCTTTTCTTCCCCCCACTCCTGGAGGGATGGGAAGGAGAACTGAAAGAATGTAACTCTCACAGGTTGAGATAAGAACAGTTT